CAGCAAGAGCACGAGCGGGATCCTCCTCTTCCTCGGCAAGTGTCTCGTGAGCTGGCAATCAGTCAAGGAGCAGGTGGTGGCCCTGTCTAGCTGTGAGGCTGAGTACATAGCGGCCTCCACCGCCTGCACTCAGGCGCTTTGGCTCGCTCGACTGCTTGGTGATCTTCTCGTTCAAGACACCAGGACGGTGCAGCTCCTGGTGGACAGCAAGTCCGCCCTGGCCCTGGCAAAGAACCCCGTGTTCCACGAACGGAGCAAGCACATCCGGCTGAGGTACCACTTCATCCGCAGCTGTGTGGAAGAAGGGAGCATCGAGGCGAGCTACATCAACACCAAGGATCAGCTCGCAGACCTGCTCACCAAGCCTCTTGGGAGGGTCAAGTTCCTCGAGCTTTGCTCCAGGATCGGGATGATTCAACACTCCCACAAGACGACGTACAAGACTTAGGGGGAGAATGTTGGATAAGTCTGTGTACTAGGGTCGTTGTGGGGCTGCAGCACATGGTCCTTGTGGCAGTTAGGATAGAGTTCCTGACCATCAAGGACTGGCAATTAGGATAGCATCTTAGACTAGCATCTTAGTAGCATCTCAGCATATGCTTGGCTGGCTAGCAGCCTATAAGTATGTAACCCCAACCCCTCAGGTTGGTATGGCATTGTGTGAGAAATAAACCAACGAAAATTGTCCCAAACTCTCCTAGTGTCATCCACAACTATCAATGCTCAGGTTCAAAGGTCTAACAGATACATCCTAGCACTAACTTGATGCTAGATACATCCATTTGAGGGACAAGCTTTTTCGGACGGAGGGAGTATCTCATATCCTTTACGTGCCAGTTTTGATTCAATAGATCATTAGCACGCTTGGCTTACAGTTCTGATGTATCCTGCCGGTATGTAATGTGCAGATTTGATATATTAGGACTTCATGAGTTTGATAGTGATCGTAAGAGGATGTCTGTCATTGTCGGCTGCCCTGATAAGACTGTTAAGTTATATGTCAAAGGTGCAGACAGTTCAATGTTTGGAATTATCAACAAATCATTAGAGCTGGACAATGTTCGTGCTACAGAGGCACATCTCCACAAATATTCATCACTTGGCCTAAGAACTCTTGTTGTTGGTATGCGTTAATTGAGTCAACCTGAATTTGAGGAGTGGCAGTTGGCATATGAGAAGGCTAGCACAGCAGTACTTGGCAGGGGAAATTTACTCCGATCAATTGCAGCCAACGTAGAGTGCAATATCCACATATTGGTGGCCTCTGGGATTGAAGATAAGCTTCAAGATGGGGTACCAGAAGCAATAGAATCTCTTCGGCAAGCAGGCATGAAAGTTTGGATTTTAACAGGGGATAAGCAGGAGACAGCAATTTCTATTGGCTACTCTTGTAAGCTGCTGACGAATGACATGACACAAATTGTGATAAATAACAATTCTAAGGAGTCTTGCAAGAAAAGTCTCGGGGAAGCACTTGCAAGAACTAAGGAGCACAGAGTTGCTTTGTCAATTGGCTCACCGTATCCAGTGTTAGCATCAGAATCTTCTGGTACAGTTCTTGCTTTGATTGTGGACGGTAACAGCCTTGTTTACATACTTGAGACAGAGTTGCAAGAAGAGGTACTCCCTCCTTTTTTCTTTAGTCTGCGTATTAGCTTTGGTCAAAGTCAAGCTTTGTAAACTTTGACAAAGTTTATAAACAAAGATATTAACATGTACACTAACAAATCAATAACATTAGATTCATTATTGAATGTACTTTCACATCATTTTGATTTTTTATGATAAATATTTTTATTTTTTTCTATAAACTTGGTCAAACTTTACGAAGTTTGACTTCAGTCAAACCTAATATGCATGTGTCCATATGTAGTTCTATCAAATGCTGTACAAATTTTCTTTTGTCCTTCTGTGTGATAAGACCATCTTATAAAGATGCCATAACTGACACATGGTCTGTCTTATTCTGTTGTGATAGCTTTTCAAAGTAGCAACAGAATGTAGTGTTGTCTTATGTTGTCGAGTGGCTCCTCTACAAAAGGCAGGCATAGTTGCACTTATCAAAAACAGGACAGATGATATGACCTTAGCAATTGGTGATGGTATACCCTCCTGCTTCCTCTATTATGTTCCATTTTTATTTAGGAGACAACGTGTGCATTATTAATACTGTTTACTTAACCTGTGACATTCAGGAGCAAATGATGTTTCAATGATCCAAATGGCTGATGTTGGGGTTGGTATCAGTGGCCAAGAAGGAGGACAAGCTGTTATGGCATCAGATTTTTCTATGGGACAATTCAGATTCTTGGTTCCTCTTCTATTAGTTCATGGTCACTGGAATTATCAAAGGATGGGTTACATGATCCTTTACAACTTCTACAAGAATGCCACATTTGTCTTGGTTCTTTTCTGGTAAGGTTTTTTTAGAGGGGATAAATACTTCATTACTTGGGAAAATGTTACTACTGGTTTTGGTCAGAAAACAACTTGGCGGCTATTGAAATCATCTATATCATTAATCTAATCTGGAAAATGTGGCGACCTATAATTTTCTAGTGTTACATATAAGATGTGTACCTTGGCATTATAAATTTATGACCATATATTTTTTTGCGGTGATATGATAATAATTTTATGGTCAGAAATTATGACCATAATTTTTTGTTATAGTCGGTTGAATTATTCAAAAAGTATGTTATGGAGCACCTCTTTATTTTCCTATTTTTTGCATGGATAGTAAAAAAAATATAGCCCCCAAAAATAATGCTTATGATGTAATCTCAGGTATGTGCTTTATACATCATTCACTTTGACGACTGCTATCACCGAATGGAGTAGTCTCCTGTATACTGTGCTTTATACATCCCTTCCAACAATTGTTGTTGGTATTCTTGACAAGGATCTTAGCAAGTCAACACTGCTAGCTTACCCAAAGCTTTATGGATCTGGCCAACGGGATGAGAAGTATAATTTGAATTTGTTTGTCCTCAATATGCTTGAAGCACTTTGGCAGAGTTTGGTTGTGTTCTACATACCGTATTTTGCATATCGACAAAGTACTATAGGCATGTCTAGTCTTGGAGATTTGTGGGCACTTGCATCAGTCATCGTTGTAAATATGCAATTGGCCATGGACATCATTCGGTGGAATTGGATTATACATGCGTTCGTATGGGGGACGATAGCAGCAACAGTGATTTGTCTATTTGTGATAGATTCGATATGGGTTCTTCCTGGTTATGGGTAAGTGCTTCATCTCCCACATCTTATTACCGATGCCATTATTTTTGTATTCCATGCAATAGCTGTGAAGTTGACAAAAAAGATGCAGTAGTCTTTAAAACCTTTAAAGGTATTCTGACTGTTTTCTCCATCGGACATATTGATTGCAAGTTTCCTGCAACATGTGTTTGTTTTATAAGAGATGAGTTCTCGGAAGAAACGAAATAAACCTTGAGCTGTTATAATTGCAATTGGGAGGCCGAGCTTGTGATATGTAGTTTCTGATTCAAGATGTCCCTTGTGATAATAAATCAACAGGCAGCATCTCACCCGTGCGCATGGCCCTTGCTCTTTTGTTTCATTCCAGCATAACATTTTGTTTATTTCCTTTGCACTATAATTCTTTTAGAATACATAGATTAAACGCTGTCTTTTTCCTTGCAAGCATCTCTGGGCTTCTTACAAGTAAAATGAGCTATTTGCCCATGTTTTCTTGAGTAGGATTTCTGATAAGTGCAACACCTGTTGCTCTTGTTTATGATTATCTATAATAGATGCAACCAACTGACACCAAACACTAATTTCAGGGCCATCTATCACATAATGGGGCAAGGCTTGTTTTGGTTACTGCTGCTTATCATTGTTGTCACAGCAATGATCCCACATTTTGCAATCAAGGCTTTCACGGAGCATTTTGTTCCCAGTGATATTCAAATCGGCCGAGAAATAGAGAAGTTTGAGGCTTTAAATCAGGTGAATCGTTCGGAAATTCCAATGCGAACGTTTTCATGACCCTTGCAGGGGAATTGCATATAGCGTTACTGTTCTTATATTCTGTTTCGTTTGTTCGTTTCTGCCCTTTCGGTGTGTATACGGGCCATTCATTTGTTAACGGCAATAGATTTAGTCTCCAGGGTGTGTGTGTGTGTGTATGTATTCTATCTAACATTCACCGAAAAGGAAATAGAAATTGTTGACGACCAAGAATTTGTGCCCTGGTGTGTGGTGTCCACCATCAGTCATAAGGTGAATGGGTGAATACTGTGATGTATATTATCACTTATTCTTCTATCTGAAATATGTATTGTTGCTCATATGTTTTGTGCCATTGTTGCTCGTACTGGTCTAACCCTTTTTTTATAAACGCACTTAGATATGTTGAGCATACAATGGGCACATGAGCACCTATGGTTCACATCACATACTATATTCAGATTTGTCTACATCAAACAAAGTTGGTTCCATTTCGGTTCCTGAATTAAGCATTTGGCGAAGGTTAGCATAACAATCATTTCATAAACTTGAGAACATGTTAGCTACATACAAACATCAGAGCATCAATCCTCCTAAAACGGAAGAGAACATCATAATTAACATTTTGGCTTCATCAATGTAAGGGCTATAGGTCTCATGCTTGCAGATGGAGCATGCTCTGAATTCCAGCAGACAATAGTTCTCTATGTTTCGCTGACCATTTCGATGAACCATGCCACTTTCCAAACTTGACCAGTGCTTAGAAAACTCGCTGCATGTCTTACATAAATATACTCCCTGAAGAAGCAGAAACATCTGACCAACCTACACAATGGCTGAACAAAAAGTTGAGCACTGGTAGATCTTTAATTGATTTGAGTTGGCTGTAGGAGTGCTTGCAGTCTAGGAACATATAAACTCAAGACGATGCCCTGCAAAAAACACTGACCATACTGGGCATATCCCCCAACAACATTCATTGGTGGCTGATGGCATTGGTTAGAAACAAAAGATCAAGCTTCTCAAGTCCTCTCCTGAAACGACTGGGAGCGCAAAAAGGCCGCTGGATTGGCCTGCAGAGCCTGTGGAGATTCTGGTGTCTTGTCATTTTTTAGAACCTTCATCTGTAAAGGCTCAAACAAGCCTTTCTCATCAGGTTTGATGCCTAGAGTATCCCGGACCGAACTCTTTGTGGCCTCAGATGGGTCATCAATTCTTAGAGTTTTAGGGACCTGTACGTTGTTTTCCCTATTCTCTTCTTGCAGGTCTGATTCTCTTGAATGCTTTCCAAGTGTAGGAGAATTGTCCTCTGAGCATGTGATTTTGTTTGGAGGGCCATTATTTCCAGGACATGGTGAACTCCACATTCCATTAGGCCAACCAGGAATGCAGCTCCAAAGTGGTGGTGGCATCATAGGAAAGGGAACAACAGGCGTGCAAATTCCTGGAGCTGCCATCATCAATGGAGGCGCCCACGGCGGCAGACCGTGCTTCACATTTTCCAACCCTTGAATGGGCTCTGTTGAGCACTGAGCAGCTGCCATGACAGCAATACTGTTCCATCCAGGACTCCAGGGAAACACCAAAGCAGGTCCGTGAGGGTGAGGCAATGTGATGCCATTATAGTATCCTAACACATTGCTTGGTTCTTTTTTAACTGCGCTATCCGGCGTCTGATTTTCTGAGCAACCCGACACTGTCGCTGGAGATGGACATGATTGTTCTTCGCTATTATCACCAGAGGCCAAGGCAACAAGGTAAGTATCCTTCTGTTCTTCAATATTATGGATTGAGGACATAGGCTTACAAACTGGCACTTGAGATCCGAACTCCTTTACTGTTTTATTTTCTTTAATTGGCCCTGGAAGAACCTGCGGTAAAAGTGGAAGAGCTAGATGGTGGATCTCATTGGAAACATCTCCAGGAGCAGCTATGTTAGCATCACACGACATCATAGCATGGCGGAAGTGAGAGGCATGCTTATTTCTGCGTCTTCCAGAACCTACAGGGACATTCCTAATATTTCCACCAGCGGTCCAATACCTCTGGCAATTCCTGCAGAAGTGCCTAGGCTGGCTAACATTGTAATTGTTGAAGTAGCAGAACTTTGTTTCCATGCTATTGCAGCGAGGGCATGGCACGATTATATCAGGCTTCTTGAGTACCTTGTCTTGGCCAGATCCATCAGACCCAGTTTTAATCTCCTCAGATTTGAAACCAGTTCTCACTTCCACCCCATGTTTGCTGATAGCTTGATCATTCTGCTCTCTATTCTTGGAACAGAAAGGAGTTGCTTCGACATTCAAAAGCTTGTTTGAGACACAAGGCATGACATCATTGCTGTTTGCATCATTTCCAAGCTTGGTGACAACCTGAAAAATATTATTTAACATGCATGAAATAGATAATTCAAATTGGTATACCATAATTTTTATAGTGCCGACAGAGAGAATGCAAAATTGAGCATAGTTCATGTTGAGTTAGCTACAAAAATAGGCAATAAGAAGTTAAAGTTTTACAAAAAATCAATGCTGATCAGGTTACTGTTAAAATATGGCATACTGGAAACAATGCAGACACCGCTGGCATAAGAGAGTATGAGACTACGGAAGATTTTATCATAGCAGCTGCTAAAATTATGTGATGTCATAACATCTACTTGATATCATAGCTGATTTAAACAAGCAACACATTATTCAGTCATGTACAATATAGTTTCATGTTTATCCATGAATTCCATGCCTCACTATGTTTGTTCATGTTCAGGTGTTAAGCGTTGACTCATATCACCAATAATTTCCCCCGTGTACTGCCCCTTTCTTTATAATATTCAGTTGTCCGTTTCTCTGTTATACTTGCAATCGTGGAACTCTTTCATACTTGGGGTTAAGAACTACCTTTCAAGGAACCAGGGGTGTTACTGGAGGAATTGTAAGGCACTTCTGTTTCACGATAAAGCACTAATCCAAGGTGGTACTACCATGGTGCAAGGGTACCCAGCTCTTCTTTTGCAAAAGAGTATATTGAGTTTGTATGTAGTATAAATTTGCACGGCAAGTGTTTTTGGGAGATTTTTATCAGTCTTCACTGCACAATGGGCCAACGAAAAGCTCCTCCGGTAAGTCCTTGACCCCATCACGGTCCCTATCTATATATCATTTCCCTTTTTGCACAACTGCCTAAATAGTAAATACTAGCAACACACTATACTTGTTTTAACAAAAAAAAATCTATGTACAGGGGCAAGATAGAGCTGGTCAATGTATACTCCATATGCAGTAATTTCTTAAAACAACCCTTTGTAACAATCAGACAAAATTATGGATCCGAACTGCAGTAATTTCTTATAGGAACCTTCAAAGAGCTAGTAAAAAATAATAAATCAAACAACGATCTTCAAAATCCTGGCTCTGCCATGGACTAGATTAAGAGCTGGAGCTACTTATGACAAAAGTACCAGAACCATTGACTACTTTGCATGTATTTACCTATAACACGATATGCACATGAGTAGGCTTGGCATTTCCACGTAGGTTGCAAAATCATTTGGTGTAATTAGTTTGGTATTTGATATCGGTTAAAATGGACATATAATATTACATGATTCGCTTGAAGCTATGTTGATCAGTATCTATGACAGATGTGTTGAATTAAATAATAATTCCAACTGGTTGGCATAGCTTTGGTTCTATCATGAAGCATAAATGAATTTCATGAGCACCGGTTTTGACACTCCAAAGACAAGACATAAACTGATTTTGGAGGTCCATAGCAAAACTGTTTGCAAACCAAGCTTCCCTCTAGTTCAACATTAGAGTAGAAGCAATGTTTTTCTACAACTACAATTATTGTTTCCTAAAATTCAGCTCCGATCTAGAAAACACAAGCCAAACGGGATAACTTCACAATATGCGGCTTCATAAAAAAAATAGAATATGGGGTCCAACTCCCTGTTTTTTTGTGAAACTCTTCAAGGGGTGCTCCAAAAAACTCCAAAAGCTGGAGTTGGGGAAAAATTACCCACCACTGCCACCAGTAGGTGGATACCCTTTCGTTTCTCCTCACGTCAGCCAATCAAATAGATCCTTTTTCACCAAATTCTCATTCTTGAAGCTAGAGTTAACTGGAAGCCAAACATTCTCTTTGGTCTCTTTGGTGGAGCTGCAACTCCTGTATGAAACTGCTCCAAAGTGGATTTAGTGAAGTAAAACTGATTTTCGTGGAGCAGAGCAGTACCAAACAGGCCCTAAGCATTTAGATTCTATTGGGCTCTCGTAGCCACCGGGCAAAATACCGGCTTAGTCTTACTAATAAAGATGAATTTTATCTTAACAATCTCAGTGCAAACGGATTTGATCAAAGAAGTTGAAGTTCCATTTTTCATTTGGCAAGAAAAGGCTAAATAAAATCCTTATGGACATAGGGATTTATTTAACCGTTTCCTTTCTCGATAGAGAACTGTTTCCTTTTAGTACACCTTTTCAAGATGGAGACTATCAAGGACAAGCAGGCTGGTAGCACATACCAATCCAAGGCACTGCTGTCTACATCTTGTCAAATCAAGAAGGCCCTCGGTAGTGTAGGACACAAAGATAGCATGAAATTAATTGCATGAACCCTAGTTAGGAAGACCAAGAAACGTAATTGAATGGTGGAGACAAACATAATTAACCGGTGGGTTATTGGGAGGGGAAGACGGAGCTGCAATGCCACCTTTCCAAAAAAAAAAACGAAGCTGCAACCGCAAAGACCTAACAAAACCAGCCGCACAATTGACAGCACAAAAGCCGCCAAGAAAGAAGAACAGCGCATCACATCGGCAATTGAAAGGAACCGGAGAAGTCCCCCGCCCCGTCCAAGGAAAAGGAAGATTCCCAACTAACCTCGGCCGCGGCGTCGAGGAGCGGGATGGTGCGGCCGAAGAGCTTAATGGCGGCGTCCCCCCGGTCCCTAAGCGCGGCCATGGCGGCGTCCCGATCTTGGGTGGTGGGTGTATGGCATGTCACTGGGCCTGGGGCTGGGTCAGGCGGGTTGGAGTAGGCGGTGAGCGAGCTGGAGCCGGAAGTCCCACAAATAATTGTGCGTGGATGGGCGAGCCAAAAGTGCAGCCTAGCCTAGGCCTACTTTTGGGGCTTTTGCACCGGGGCAGCCGGTAAAAGTCACAAAGGCAATGCACTCACGCAAAAGATTATCTACTTTCTTTCTTCCAATGAATCACGCACACGATTATCCTAACCCGAGCAAGTCCATTTGGTTATTAGTACTAACCCTGTTTTGAGTCTCTAATTTTGGCTTTTGGGCAGGGGCCTGAGTAAGGATTTTCCTTTTCTGTTCTCTTTTCATGTACTCCTATGCAATAAACTAGTATTGATTCTGGACTTATTGGTCAGGTACGAGGCCTAGGCATGAGAGAAAATATTCTCCGCTACTGTGGATGTGGTAAGAAATTTTTGCAACTAGTCCTACCACTGAGGCTGAGCACCGAGATATTGGTTGCTGAAACAGTGAACGTGATCTCTGGCGCACACGCACAGCACAGAGGAGCAGTGACCGGGTGCACCCGGTTGCGCGCCAACCATCGCTGGTGGCAGATCCACGTCAGCCGCCGCTTTTTGCGAGCCGATGCAGCTGCAGCTGCAGCGGCAGCTCGTCGCTTTTGCGCAAATGCAGTGTGCCCCACTTGGACAAAGCGCTTCCTCGTTTTTTTTTATCAAAAATCAATTCTATTTTACTCCTGGTGGTGTTCTACCCTTTCCAGAAGGTTCTGTGTTGCACCCTCTTGGTTCGGGTTATAATAAAATTCACTAGTGACATTTGATCGAAGAAAGTGACAACGCAATCAGTGAAAAATAATCGTGTTCGAAGCCTAAAACGATAGGCGACCGAACGAATACCCGTGCAAGCACAAGCTAGGCATATAACAAAACCACGTTTTTTTTTCAGGGAACAAGATTGCCCTAGCACTCAACGAAAGAATATGATTACAGCCGCCGTTATTAAGAAAAAGACTCCGTTTCTGGCCTCGCTTAAGTGTAGCGGTGCTTGTGTTGAGCGTGCGGGTGGGCACCCTCACTGCCACATGAGAGCATGAGCATCGTTAATACTTTCTCTGTTCTTATTTACTCAGCATATTATGTTTGATTGAAGTCAAATTTTATAAAATTTGATCAAATTTATAGAAGAAATATAGACATTTACAATAGCAAATCTATATGAAAGTATATTTAATAGTGAATCTAGTGGTATTGATTTGTTATTGTATATGTTATTATTTCTGTCTATAAACTTTGTCAAAGTTTACAAAGTTTGACTTTGAGCAAAGCTAAAATGCGAAGTAAATAAAAACAGGGAGTAATATAGCCAGCGGTTAGCTATATAGATGTGTCATGTCACCAAGAGTTAGCATTATTAATTACTCATACAATAGAGTTGGCTACAAGTTCACAACCTTTTCTCACTTTAGCTTTATCTTTTTCTTCTCATTAAATGCTTTACCAAGGAGCATGCGTAGAGGCTGGCTCTTGTATAAGAGCCAATTTCTTTACTTTTTCATTGTCTCTATCTTTCACATAGGCAAAAACGTCATGTAAGCGGGCTTATATCCCACTATTATAAGAGCATCTCCAGCCGCGCCCACAAAAGGCCCACCAAGGCTATTTTTTGCGCTGGCGCCGAGAAATCAGCCCAGTCACGTCCCCAGGATCTCGATTATCGCCGGTTTGGGGCGAAATAACAGCCGGCGTACCCGAGCCGAACCCAAGCCCCCAGGGGGCGCCTGGGAGCATCGGAAGAAGCGAAAAGGCGCGCGGGTCCGCTCTGTCGGCGAGACAAAGAACTTTTCCCGCCGATCACCCCGCTTTCCCCCCTCCGTTCCCTCCATCTCCCCCTTCTCCCGCCTTCTCCCGCCATTCTCCTCCCTCTCCCCTCCATTCGGCCGCCATGCCGCCGAAGAAGTACGACGCCCCTCGCGCCGCCACCGATGCCAGCGCTGCCCAGCCGAAGCAGAGAAAGCAAAGGGCGCTGCTGTCCAAGCCCCCAGGCATGTCAAACGCCGACTGGAAGGTAGAGGTTCAGCGCTGGGAGGCTGTCACCACCGACCGGCGGAACAGGCTCAACGCCAAGAAGACTCGAGATAGGGCGGCCCTGGCGGCAGCGGTTGCCTTGGCCGAGCAGGAGGATCGCACGACGGAACAGGCCGAGGTGTCTCGTGCAGGGATGATGAATCCGCCCGACGGCCACGGCCCGCACGCCTAGAGCCAGCAGGGCGTCGGGTTGCCGGCTGGATTCCCGGTGTCTCCCTGGGGCTGTGCGCCCTCGCCTGGCGACGCGCACAATGGGTTCAACCCCAATGTCACCTTTCCACATGGCCAGCCCCGCCCAGTGCATGCCCTCGCCCGCATTCGCCGGCGTCCAGTACCCCCGTACACCTACTCCCCACTGGCTTACTGATGTAGGGTGGCACCCTAGATGGCCA